TTAGGACTAAAACTAGGCAGTCTACACACTTCCCTATACGGGCTGACTCAAACCGACCAGGTTTCGGTTATACTACCCCCAAACGCTTTTCCATCACAACCCTAATCAGATAATATTACATCTTGAGGAAGGCGATGGCTCAGTATGCATAATACGTTTCCTAATGATCTCAATAGGTACAGCTTAATAACCTCATAGATTGACCTGCCTTCCTTATGTAACACTCTATGCGCCTAACCACTTAACATGGGAGACTAAGCTTTTCACATCTTCCATTTTAAATGGCCATGTTCCCACAAGTATAATAGGAGAGGTGAAACAGGACAAACGGAAAAGAAGATAAGGGATTCATGCATCTACAGAATCTACAGAAAATCCACATATTCACAATGGAATTCATCTTTTCCAGGTATCTCTCTAATAAAGTGCAATTTAATTAGACAAGCAACTAACTTGTCAAACATCAAATCTAATGATATCAAGTAAGATTCATACACGAACACACAGTACTTAATTAATCATCTTGATAAATTTGTATTCAGCAGTGGCTGGTTGGTTTCAATGTAGAACAACTTTGCAAAGATGTGCACCAGTTCCAGTTACCAAACTCCCTCCATGTAGCACACAAAGCAAGAGACATGAGTAAAGAGAGATTCAAAACAAAGAGAGATAATAAACAAAAGTGTGAGGGAAAAAGAATAGTAATATGGAAGAACAGTAGAGTTCCATTAGATATGATCAATCACAAAGAGCGAAAGCATCTGCGACAGCCAATGACAACGATTTGAAGCAATATAACCAATCTTCTCCAACCGTCATTGCTTCTTACAATCTCAAGGACTGCAAACAGACAGCAGTCTACACCTCCCACCCTACGTGACTGGCTGGCTTAAACTAATTGTTGTGCATTTCATTAACTGATGAAGTCATGCTTTCGTTTGACCACCACTAGCTAACTCTTTCCCAACCTCACCCATCCTTTGTCAGTCAGATAACACTGCCCGTCATCGAGGAAGGTGATCGATGGCTAGTCATGCATGCGTGACACATGTCCTGACCATCTCTCAATCCATGTAGTAGCTTCACAACCACCTCGTCCATTGATTTCCTCTTCCAACTACCACCAATGGCTAACCTCAATATTGCTCACCTTGTTATACCACCACCAACCACCTAACACACACGGGAGATAGAAAGCAGATACCTATGATCAAAGGCAGCTAGCCAGCCAGCCAGCCAGCTAGGCTGTTGATGTCTTCCACTTTCAATGACCATGTCCGCCATAAAGGAGGACGGGGTGAAGTGCTGTTGAGCAGTACACACGTCCTTTGCTCGATAATCAGCCAGCCGGATATGACGTCTACTAAGCCAGAGATGGCGTACGTTGGCATGTACAAAACGAGACTTCAACATTATAGAAGAAATTATAAAGGCAAGTAAACTAGCAACATATGAGATTCAGACAATCGTAAATCAGGTAACGATGACAGCAATACGATGAGAAAATTTAGAAAAAAAAACCTACAGTCTTGTGTCATATTAGCAAACAATTCCAAAACCATTGAAAAAAATATTCCCAACAGGGAAGGGAATGAAGAAAGAATCAGTTTAAACTCACAAAAAAGTGTAAACTGTCAGCCAAAGGACCTAGTGTCTACTAAGCCAACACGATAAATCCTGCGATGATTGCGTGACCAAATATATAGGTTGAAATATTTAGAGCATAGTTAATCAATTAGACTCCGCCCCGCCCCCCCTCCATTGCAAATATGTTTGGTAGATGATAAACTAGAATAAGAGATCTATAGATAAGCTCAGACATAACATCACACACACACACACAAATCGTACAACACAATCAGAAAAAAATGGGGTAAAATAATCTGAATTTCTACTGTAGTAACTTAGTAGGAGGATAGAAGAGGAGAATAAAAAATCGATAGTTTTATCTAACAGGTCATTTCAATCAACTGTTGTTTCAGGTTTGTTTTTTTTGTAAGAGAATTCTAACACCTTCCCCTGATAAAATCAAATATAGAAATCCAAAAACTCAAATTTTAAATTTTTTGGGGAATTACTCTTCCTTACGATGATGAACTCAACATATTGTCAGTTCAAAACACTTATTTAGCAAGCTTGTACTCAGAATAAATCTTTCACGTTTCATACAGTCGAGATATACGGAATTATTATTATTATTATCATTATATAATGGATTAATTCATTCCCTACTTTCTAATGACATATATTAATATTGATTTCCAAATCTTCTATAGAAAAAAATTCCATCTATCTATTTCCCTTCTTTAGATGCCTGTCAATGATTTTTCAGTGAGGTTATTAGCCTCATATTTTATGCATAATCATCAATCGCCTTAGAAACCAGAAATCTAAGCAGAGAAAAGGTGATCAAGATATTTATGAATTGTGAATACGTTTCATAAGAAACAAAACATGTATACTTCAAGTGAACGGTACAGATAATGAAAGTAAGAAAATACTAAACAAACTGACTGACTATTTAATTGAATTTCAGATTTTCCCGTCAATTGATTGGACCGAAGTGCTTGGTCTCAGGTTGACATGTCGGTTTCTTGTGCAGATGCTTCGACGATGTCTGGGCATTTAGTTAGTATTTGATTGGTGGACAGTGACTAGCAGTGGAATCTAGGATAACGCGCATTTCATCATATGGGGATGTAGGTACATCCAAATGACGACTCCCAAATAGGACGAAATGACCATCCTGGATTCCACTACTAGTCACCATCCACCAATTAAAATCTGACTGACTGACTGGTTTCAACGTAGAACAACTTTGCACAGATGTGCACCAGTTCCACTTGCCATACTCCCTTCTTGTAGTACACAAAACAAGAGAAGAGAGATTAAAAGAGAGATACGTTTGCACCAGCCATCAAAAACGACGATTTTGAGCCATATCACCAATTGTCTCCAGCCAGCATTGGTCCTTACCATCCTGAGGACACCAACCAGGAAGTCTACACCTCCAACCAATAGCTACCGCCTTGACATGGTGGTCGGGCTCACATATCACAAAGACTCAGTAAGCTACACTGGCTGAAACTTATGTTCCTGCAGATCCTACCATGCTAGGAAGATTGTTAGGATAAAGATTAGACAAAAGCAGTTACCGTACTGCTGGGATGTAACAGCAATAAGGTGTTTCCCTTAGATGACCAGCGTGCCGGCCAGCTATGCCGACTATGCCATGTCTCTTCACTCTGAAAAGAGGGGGTTAGAAAACTTCGACCTCAAAAATTGTAAACATCCACTTACCTCCCCTACGGTGGTCCGTAACCGGCAGTAAGTTACTAATACGGAACCAAAACAAAAAGTCAGTTAAGACAGGAAGTGTGCGACCTGCCAGCCTCAAGCAGTTGTCTCCTGAGCTCTGTGGTCACGCAACATTAATTCTATTTCTATTTCAAGAAACCCAAGAATTAATCAACTGTCACGGTGTGAGCGACTGGGAAGTAACAACCGCCCACACACTTTCAAAAGCCGAAGAAGCCTTCCTGATCATTAAACAATCATTCCTAATGATATTATACGTCTATCTAGACTTGTGCTATTCACCCGATTATGTGTTGAGGTAAATAAAGACAATCGGGAAAACTAATTGTAACCAAGTTACTCAGTAAAGACTTTGAAAACATTAACTTATGAGATGCTCTTGATACATGAAGGGGGTGCTGGCACCAAACTAGAAATCCCAGTTGAATAAAGCTGACGACCAATAAGCCACATTATGATTCAGACAAAGGAAAAAACAGCTGTCCAGTACTCCCTGCAGGTTTTCCAATGGTTCTCTAACCGATGCCAGCTCAGGATAAAATCTTGTAACCAATCAATCAAATCCTTACAAAACCAATACTTGAATATCAATGAGATGCACACTAGCGACTGGCCCTATTGAAGCAGTTACCTGGGGTTTTAGTGGAAAGTCGTGAACAGTAGGGTACAGCAGGTCAGATGTGAGGATTAATACTCGCCAAAGACAATAGCTAGTGGTCGCGCTGTGTAGTGAAATGGCAGAAGTTGCAATTCATGGGCCGTTGGATCGGGTCTCAGTGGCTTAATAGTCTACGAGTTCGCTGGCCTGGTAACGTAGAAGGTCCTGGGTTCGAACTCCTGTAGTGTGTGCGTACTGATGAGGCATCAGTCGCAGACCAGGCTGACAAAACAACTTTCCAGTACTCCCTGCAGGTTTTCCAATGGTTCTCTAAGTGATGTTAGCTCATGATGAAATCCCGTAACCAATCCTTCAAATCCCTACAAACCAATACCTGAAAGTTAAATTTGTTGGATTCAACGTGTTAGCCACTCCATCAAGATTGTGTTGACTGACACAACCTTGAAGTGGTAACATACCATCCATCATCGATAGAAAAATAGGTTTAGTTTTTTGTCTACCAGACTAGGGTACCCATAAATTTTGTGATATTAATACTGGACAGAGTCCTAGGGATCATCTGTAATCAACAGGTAGAATTGGACGGCTATTTTATCCGAGTCTAAGAATCTACAGTATTCCACACCCACGATTCCAACAGGGGTCGAAGCAAGGACGTGTTACATTACGAGATGAAGTGGATGTATATTAAAGGCATTTGGGTTGAGGATAGCACTATATATCAGTAATTGACAAAGTTGGATCAGACAATAGGTCAATGAATTCTGGCACAAGTGTCCAAAATGATCAACGAACTTTTTCCTATAGCTTGAAGATTCTAGGTTCGATCCATGGTTGGGTAATGTGTGGACTGCTGAAGAGTACCGAATCAGGGTGAAACAGCTCCCTGATTCATAACTAGATTTAAATTTTTGCATTATTATTCCTCTTCATTTACACCTATTTCTTGTTATTTGAAGCTGAGAAACGTGATTTCACTAGTTTATAGATATGATCAAAAAAGAATAAATAAAAACAAAGCTGAGTAGAAAAATTAGAAAAAAACATAAAACAACAAATTTACCTTAATTATTGATTCAAGGATTTCAACTCGACACATTTCAGGCCATGCAGCAGTTGTCTGATATAAATCCACAGCAATGAGTAAAGATTTCTCAGCGAAGACAATATAATTGAGTGGGACAACATCAGGCTTTTTCGGATTTAAAGAAAAATTGGTAAATAAGGAGAAATGAGTTGAGAATGCAACAGTTAAGTCGAACAAAAATAATTACAAATTAGTGATGATAGATATTCCCTAAAAAAATCCTCGCTTAAGTCTACTAGCTCACTAGTTTTCTAGCCGGTTCCAAATCAGGGAGAACAGGGGGAGGGGTTGGGCGTGTGGCTGCCGATCCTACCCCAGAAAATAAAACAAACTGCTACAGAAACTTTGACGTACAAGAAAAGTATTAGAATATACAAAATATTAGGAGCAAATTATTCTTCGCTGGAGTCGGAGAGGCAAAATGACATGGGGCTGGTGAAAGCCCAGCGTTCGGAAAGCCAGTAGGTCAGCGGACGTGTCTTCCCGCAATGAAAGCAAGAATAAGAATGGGCACACGGAATGTACGTATAATGTACGAGTTTGGGGAGGCTGCCCAAGTAGCCAAAGAAATGAGAAGATATGGAGTATAAGTGCTGGGTATCTGCGAGAGCAGATGAAATCGATATGGACTAGTCAAAGTGTCAACTGGAGAGCCAGTAATCTACCTCAGTCACCACCTCCACACGACAACCACGAGCACACTGACGCAGTGAGTGGCTACCATGGTGTCACCAAAAGTAAGCAGACAAGGCTCTTATGTGCAGTGGCAACCAATGACAGCAAGATTCAACTCATAGGGGAGGAAAGGCACAACCACCCAATGATACGCACAATGCTACAAACGACTCAAAAGAGAAGAAGATGAAGAAGAAGAAGGAAGATTTCTATAGACAATTGTAAACAGTGCTGGACAACATCCCGAATACCGACATCAATATGGACAATATGAATTCCAGCCGAACTGGGAGCAGACAACACAGGGAGGAAAGTGTGAGAAGGAAGAGATGAAGTGACCACACTGTTGACAAGGTGTTCAATTGTTGTACTCCGTATGAATTCACTGCTACCGCCCATTTCTATAACCATGTGGGATAATGCTCTAACAAAACCTTTCACATAGGATACGCATCAAATGACTACTGCACTGACATATCATCTTACATTGAATAAGGGCTAAAATAAATATTGGACTATTTGATGATTATTCCTATTATGCACTAGGTGTATAGAATACACAACAGTAATCAACTGAAAACAAAATACTTCCCCTTATTTATATCATACTTGAATGGTGATCTGGGCAGAACTACTGTCACATTTGTATTTTAGCAGTTATTCATAGCTAATGAAATACAACCATATACAGTCAAACTCTGGGGAGTGAGAAGACAGGAATAGGCTGAACTGAACGATAAGAAGACTTTAGTAGGTCTTCATTACCCGCGTGGATTATGTATGTCTAATGTCACACAAACTCGAAGAATTACAGGCGAAAAATAACAAACTGGCTGAAGACGCGAGCAGGCGGCGAAGACAATACTCCAGGTGATGAACATAGAGAAGAGGAAGGTGATCAAGGTAACCAACCAGCCAACCAACAGCGACACCGACACCGACCAGCACCAACCACCATCAAAGGGAGAGATTTGACAGAGGTTACTTTCTGCCTTCAGTTACCTGGCTAGGAAGCACTGCTTCAACTATAGGCCAGTGAAACGGATAGAGATGTCAACGCCATCCAGAATCGGAAAGGCAAGATACGCCTTCGTCAACCTGAAACCAGTTTGGAAATCTTTTGCTCTCATTCAACCAACATAGAGAAGAAGAAGATTCGGATTTTCGACACAAATTTGTAGTCAGTCAGTTAGTCAGTTCTTCTGTAGGGGTCAGGAACTTACACAGAGTATCAACAAAAGGATTTCCAACAGCCAGCTGCAGAGTTTTATCAATAACTGCCCACTTCGCTGGCTGACTCCATACTAAAGATCAAATAGCAGGCAGGCTGGCCGGCCGCCCGGCCAGAAAGAATTAGCAATAAGAAACTTTGACTGGCAACAAACCGACAAGCGAGAGCCGATAGCCCAACAAATATGTAGGAGAAAATGGAGATGGATCGGATATACGTTGACGAGGCCGTCGAGTGATATCGCGTGCAATGGGAAACGATAAGTCAGGTGTAGGTCCGAGGTTGAAATGAAGATTATGTACCGGGGAAGAGATGGGAGATTATGCGCAATCGTTGACCCAGCTGAAGACGGCAACACCAAATTGCACAAAGTAGGGATGTGTTGTTTAAGCCCTATGTTCCACCGACATTCATAAGTAAAACATAGAAATACGTATAAAATATGAAATTATTATAACTTTCTACTAGATGTGTAAATGGTAGACAGCTTTATTAGTATTATTAGGTTGCGCAAAATCACGAATTGGTAGAAGTTAGAATTCATGAGCCATTGAATTGCGTCTCAGTGGTTGGATGGTATACGAGCTTGCCTTGTAACCAGAAGGTCCTGGGTTCGAACCCTGTCGGTGGGTGTGTACTGTCGATGATTTCCAAACTAGGATGAAACAGCGGCTGTCCAGTACTCCCTGGTTTTCAATGGTTCTCTAACTGATATCAATCCGTGATTAACTCGTAAAAACATAACTAACCCTTACAAACCAAAGTATAGAGAGTTATAAAAAAGGTTAATTACATAATCAAAACGGGAACATAATTTATATGCATACATTCTTTTCAAGTACTTACTCTATGATTTTTCAGTTGATCTAGTTTAGGGATTTGAACAGCATAACCAGTCAATGTAAGAAGCAGTTGAAGAACACGTGGAAGCAATGATGACGATGATGATGAACTATTGTTATTATCATTATTATTATTACTTTGTTCAGAACTAAAATGCTGTATAAAGTGATTCAATCAAAAATTAAATTAAAAGACATCATATAAATGCACATGAAAATAATTAATAGTACTAAAAAACCTATAGGAATGCATACAAAAATCTCTGCAATGTAAATGAACTATTTTTTTGTATAATGATTAATTTCTAGTTTTTATAAACATTCAGTATATGATTTTCAAATCTCAGTTATATATGCTGAAATCAAGTGTTAGCATTCTGTTAATTTCGGTAAATAATTGTATTGAATCTAGAAAACACTTACCGATATTGTGACCAGTGGAATGAAGGATACGCATTTCGTCCTCTTTGAGACTCTTCAGTTCGCTGAGCTATGAGAACCACACCTTGGATAACTTTTAAGCATTTGAGATAACCGGAGCTGGGTTCGAGTCTAATGGGAATACCGCGCCACTCACTGATGATGCATCCTGGATTTCAATGCTCATCACAACCAACCCAATTCATGCTTACCTAGTAGTAATCTGCATGAGTATTTCTAGGATTCCAGTATAGTTTTATTATTATTTATCACTGTTCCCTATTTAATCTACGAAGTAATGACATTTGGAAAACAAAATTAAGTTAGAAATGTGGTCTATTGCTCTGGGTCCTCGATTTCCAACCATTGGGTTACGGGTTCGAATCCCGCTTCATCTACCGAAGTTTCCTCAACCAGGTAGTACCACTAACCCTTACACACGACAGGTGTAGGTCACTGACTCACTGACTGGTTTCAACATAGAACTTTGCGCTGATGTGCGCCAGTTCCAGTTGCCACACTACCTCCTTGTAACACACAAAGCAAGAGAAAAGTATAAACACAGATTCAAAACAGAGAGAGATAAACAAAAATCCCGAGGACCCTGACCAGTCAGGAAGTCAACACCTGCCTCCCTACGTGACTGGCTGGCTTAAACTAACTGTTGTGGATTTCATTGACTCATGAAGACACGTTTTCGTTTGACCACCACTGGCTAACTCTATTCCAACCTCATCCATTCTATGTCAGTAAGCTAACACTGACCGTCGGTCGAGGAAGGTGATCGATGGCTAGTCATGCATGCGTAACACATGTTCTAACAATCTCTCTCAATCCATGTAGTGGCTTCACAACCACCTCGTCGATCGATTCGACACCCCCCCACCTACCTAGCGCTCGATCATCGATGCCCAGCCTCAGTATTTGTCACTCTATTATACCATCACCACACGCGGGAGATAGAACGCAGACACTTATGATCAAAGACAGCTAGCCAGCCAGTTAGACTTTTCGTCTTCCTCCCCTTTCAATGGTTATTTCTCGCACGCAGCTATTAAGGAGGATGGAGCGAAGTGCTGTTGAGCAGTACACACGCCCTTTGGTCAATTCACTATAGTTCACTGCCAACTGCGAGGAACTGTAAGTGGTTGTTGAGTAGCAATTTGTATACACATATACAGTATAATTCATTTAATTTAAACCAGACACGAAACAAAAGTTGAATTGCAGAAGGGTGCAAACAGTACTAATCAATATCCTTACAATTGTATTATTATTACTAGTATTATTATTAATGAATGAAAAAACAAAACAACATTGTTTTTACTGATGTTTTACTAAATAGTGCTGTTAATCGTATTGTCAAAGTAAGAGTAAATCACACTTTGCAAAATCTCAGGATACACATCGTTATTGAATCAAAGTTTTCCTTCATTATGTAATTCTCCTTCGTTATCAATCTACCGAGATAACGGATATGTACAGATTGTTGGATGTTACATATATGAATTATTAAAATCGGCATATACTCACAAAATGAGAAAACTTCTCAGGTTAGACCACGTATTGATAACATTTAGAGAACCATTGAAAACCAACACCAGAGTACTGGACAACCAGCTGTTTCGTCAACTGAGTTTGGGACCGATGCTTCACCAGTACGCACCCACCGCCAGAGCTCGAACCCATGACCTACCGGTTACAAGGTCACGACTTCTCACTAGAACTCCGTTCTGTAGCAAGTCATTAGCGAGCATCAGATTTAATTTTCGAGAATCAGTTTGTAGGGTGTGTACTGGCGATAAGTTCCAAACTAGGATGACGAAACAGCTGGCTGTCCAGTACTCCCTGATGACTGTCATTGGTTATCTAACTGATATCAATCCGTGGCCTAACCTGAAACGAATAGAATCCCTACAAACTAATTCTTGAAAAAATTTCTATCATATCTAGGCTGACAGTGTTACTTTGCAGAATGAAGATGTTATAACCTGACATTCTTGTCTAGATTATGCGGACTCCATAATGTGTGAAGTAAAACTGATATGCGACATAGGATATACATGTAATTACATAAACCCAGGACGAAAAATTTTACAAACGTTACAAGTCTTACTAAACTTTTCAGTAGACGAATAGAATCTCTCCTAATCTTGATGTCTGTAGAAGTTTGTCTAAGCATTTTATTTTGTAAACACAGACTAATAATCCTTCAGTAGTTGCCATAAGAAATTCACGACTAATCAGAAGCATATGACTAAGACAGTTGAAAAGGACTATCCAAAAACAAGAAACCTTTATACACACGACTGCAATTCAAGGGCGATATACCTAGCGAAATAATTCCTAACAAGTTAAGAAAATCAGTTCAAAGAACTTCTAGTGCTGCCAAACCACAAGACTTATTTTCTACACAACTGATGGTGATTTCCCCAATTGAAACATGAAGTACCTAAACTAGCTAGTCACCTCAGATTGTATCAACCAATTCAGCTGCGATTTCTGTGGAGCCAGTTATACTGACCGTTGCTCTAGGAACTTGATTTTTCTTGCTCGCTCGGGACCACGTACGAGTGTGGTGTGGCTAAATAAAGGTGTAGTGAGAAGCATCGAAAGCTCGATATTAGACCACCTGGTCCAAACCGACCACAAAGACAGCCAGGATCGAAGAGTCCTTCTCCATCATCTACCGGGTACCAAATAAATTGTCAAAAACATCCAGGTACTGCATACTCAAAACAGTGGAGGATATTGCGATCCGCCTTAAAAACTGGTGTTTTGTGTGCAGAAGAAGCAAGTCCAGCTAGCCAGCCACAACTACTGCCCTGGTCGGCCTTCAGTAGAGACTATAAATTCATGAATTCCTAATATTACCTTTCCTAATTTTTCTGACATGCAGTTTATTGTTTTATTGATGATATTGAACTGTAATCTATTGATATTACTATTGATTCGGTGTTATTTGAACAACATTAACACTAATTCATTCACTCACTATTATGGATGGATATATAACTGTAGAACCTGATGAAGAGCAGGTTATCGAAGAGAATATTCTTTGTTCAACAACCACTCTTTTGAAGAAAAGAACTTTTAATGGGCATCTATAAGCAGTCAACCAATCAATCAATCAATCACAGAATCGTTATATAACATTTCAAAGCAAAAAAAATAAAGGATATTTTTTGAGCATAAATAAATACACTGGGAAAACAAAAAAAATTCAAATAAGCTTACCTGAACAAGACAATTTAAACACCGTAATACTGACTCTTGTAGTGAATTTAATATACCATCATCAATTATTGTTGATGATTGTGATGTCATCGAAGATAAACTAGGATATAGACAGGCGATATACAATGGAATTAATACACCGATTTGAATTAATTCCTCTAAACGATCAAAATCTTTAACATGGAAATTCACTTTGATATGATCAAATATTGGCAGGAATAAATCAAAGTAGAGTGTAATGAACGATGTACTCGGAAGAAATATATACGATGGATGATTAATCTGTGTAGAAGAGAAAGAAAAAAAGAAAAAGAAAATATCTGATGAGTCGCAAACCAGGACGAAACAGCTGGCTGTCCAGTACTCCTTGTGGCTGGTTTTCTAATGGTTCTCTGACTGATGTCAGCCCTAATGATGAGATTCTCTAAACAATCCATTAAAAAAGTTTAACTAACTACCTACATTTTTTCTAATCTGATAGATTTTCCAGTTAGGTGATTGGAGATTAATTGACAGGAGGTCATGGATCTCACCATGGTACTCACCGTCTAGGTGTATCTGCAAGCTTGGAAGAACTGATGTTCTTTTAGATGCATTGATTATTGATCCCTAAGCAGTTACCAGTGTGATATTTCTAGTCCTTTGTGTTAGTTTTATTATATATGTGTAAAACTTGGGCATTGTCGCAGTATGTAATTCCATATTAGTTTGTTTATTAGATATATCACACAGTGGAGAGACAGTATTATTTACTGGCTGACGACACCTTCCGAACACACAATTTATTGTTCATAATCACTTCATCAATTATACTCACACAACTTTGAAACTTGAGTTTTATAGTTTTCTGTATTCCTTCCTATTCGTTGTCGTAGGGGTAGCAGAATTTTCCAGATGTCTGGGACAGGTGTTGAATCATTATTTATTTATTTAAACGCAGAAAAACTTGGTACAATATGGTACCAAGAAGATGCGCCATACAATAATAATAAAACAACATAGATTAAAAGTAAAAATATAAGTAGAAAACGGATAAAGAACTTCATCTGGAAGGAAAACAGTCATGTTTAACAAGTTCAAACAGTATTCGTTAACTATCATCAGGAAGGGAAGAAAGAAGGAAATTGCAACACATTCGCCATTGATTACGATTCTTGGCCATATCCGATAACGTTTCGAGCCATCGATTCGAGCTATCTCGCTGACCCCAACCAGGGAGTCGTGACACACCAACCGATGCTAATCTAGCACAAATATCCTTCATCCCACGACGCCACGTCATGGACTGACCACCCCTCCGCCTTTTCCATCCCGTCACAGGGCTACCGAACAGAGACCTGTATGGAAGCCGGTGTTTGAAGATGACGACACTCAACAAATGGTGAACTCCACTGTGTTCAAACACACGCCACCAAACCTCAGAATTACTCATGCGATGATGCCATCGAACGCAAGCAATCCTGCGGAGACAGCGATGATCGAACACGCAGAGTCGCCGCACATCCTCAGCTCGGAGAGGCCAGGTTTCACAGGCGTAGAGCAAAACAGCCCGCACCGAAACATTGTATACCCGACCTTTGAACGGCCAGGCTAACGTCGCGATGGCATCAGAGGTAGCTCAAGTTGATGTATGCCACCCTAGCCTTCATGATACGGTTGAATCATTCCTACTACACGTATTCTCTTCAGTCGATTCGATAAATAAAGCTTCAGTTATCAATCTCTCCCTCCACCCTGTTAGTTGTATTACATTTTGAAACTGTCATCTTATCCCATCCGATTGCATGGTTGTGTGTAATTGCATGTGGATTCTCCAGATTTCTTATCTTATTCGTGTCAACTAATCTAGATTTCGCTGTTAAGTTTTTATGCTCCGCTAGTCTGACCATGACTGATCCCGTTCTACTACTTTGACCTATGTATTTCACCTGAAAATCAGCACAGGCAGGGTATTAGATAAACTAAATTGTTCTCTTTAATTGTCTCCACAGGATTGATCCTTCAAAGGACAAAGCTTGTTTCTAATTGAGTTTGTGGGCAGTTTGAATGCCAACCATTTTTATTCCTGTCTGCATTGTTAAGAATTCTCCGTCTCCGAAGTTCCTTCTTTGTATGGAAGTACTACTGATGGCGATTTAAATTCTCTATTGTTGGTGTTGTCATTATTATGTGCATGTTTGACATGCAGGTCATCATTAACATTACTATCACTACTATTATTATTTATTTTATCTTTACATTTTCCTGCATACTTCCTGATTAATTTATCAGGGTGAATATGAAATTTTAAAACTTCACTTATATGCATCACTTCCTGTCTTAGAATTTCCTTGGTACTATTTGGTTTCTGTGTCCTATTACTTAAACATTTCGCAAATCCTATTTTTATTGACATAGAGTGGGATGATCCAAAATCCAAATATCTGTTTGAATGTGTGGGTTTCCTGTAAACACTAGTGTTTAGCTTCCCATCTTCTTTCCTTTTTACGCTAAAATCTAACATTGGAAGCTCCCCTTCCTGACTTTCCAATTCATAAGTGAATTGAATTGCCTCCACCTTTGAGTTGATGTGTTCGAAAGATTGATTTATGTCGTGTGTTCTGAGTACAGTGAATGTATCATCTACATACCTCCAGTATACTTTTGAACCTTTCAATCGCTAAGTTTTTCCACCTATCCATGAATATATCTGCCACAATCAGGGATATTGGTGACCCCATGACAACTCCTTCAGTTTGTTTGTATATTTTCCCTTGAAATTTAAATACTGTGGAAGTTATGGGGTTATAATCGACGAAACGATTATGAAAAATAAATTGTATTTGAAACTTTGTCATCTAGTAAATAATAATACTGTCTCTCCACTGTGTGATGTACCTAAAATAAACAAATTAACTGTGCTACTTTTGACCGAATTCTATCCAGCTAAACCTACAAGAGTGTGAGTCGGTGGCACAATGGTAGAGTGCTCACCAACTACGCCTCGTGTGGTCTGGGGTTCAATCCCCGGATAACGCACTCCTAAATCTCGTTAAGCCAGTAATAAGACTGGTAACGAGGGAAGGTTGAGCACGAGCCCAGCAGCAACCCCATCCTGTAAAAGTAATCAGCACTGCTACAGAAACTTCAAGTCTCTAGCTTGAAGCCCTATGTTCCACTGGGGACGTGAAGGAATAAAAAAATAATACATAAAAAAGTCTACAAGATGGTCACCGAGCTGAGTGATTTACCGTTTAGGCTTTCCTAGCGTTTAACATCTTAGTCATAATGGTTAATTATATGATAATTAGTCGAGTATAAATACAGAAAATAAAAACTCAGATACTTTTAATTATTTTGAAAACTTTATAGAAGCTTTGAATTTTTCTTGGATCTTAGTTACTTAAATAGTGACGGCAACTCGTTTGAAATCTTCACTCCAGCATATTCAGACGAAAGACTCTTCAATAAGTTAATCATCCAGCTATATTAAAAGTCAATCAGATTGAAGAATATTCTCTTCAATTACTTCCCCTCTTCAGGTTCTTACACAATTATAAAATATAATATTTGTTGTCGTTACAATAATGATGGCCAGTTATGCGACGGATATATCTTTTACGTGGAATAGCAGATTAATTATGGGGTGGGTGGCAAAATAAATAGCATTTGTGTGACAAGCTTGCTATGGGCTAAACTCAGTTACAGAATATTGTGCTAGCTTTATAGATGATTGGAGGCTATTGGCAGGAAGACTTGCCGGGACCTAAGTTTTGTGCTAGTTGACACTCACCACCATCAGTCAGCAAGGCGGCGTATATGCAACCTTGGAGGATGGAACTCATGTCCTGCGTCACAACGCAGTGCCGCTTGCAGTCGGTCAGAGACGTTGCCACTGAGCAGCTATTCGGCATCGCGATTGACCACCTCATGTAGGACTGTACTGGATACTTTAATTGGACACTAGTCAGTAGCTAGCGTGATTTGTCAAGTCCTTTGCTTGATGCAGATACGTTGTCTTGCTGACTGATGGTGGTGAGTGCCAACTAACATGAAACCTAGGTAGATCTCGGTAAGGCTTCCTGTGGCCGATTGCCTCCAACCATATAGTATCAATAATTCAAAGTGCACCATGATGGTGAGCAACATAGTGGCATGGTGGCCGCCACATTGCAAACTTGATTGATAGAATTCAGTCTGCAGAAAAGATAGGACAAGATATATAACACTAGTTACTGACCAGTGTTCAATCAAACAGCTTTATACCCTTTCAAACATTTCGTTTTCTTTATCCTACTTTCATATCTACACTTCTGAATAAATATCAGTTTTATGTGGTCAGTTGTTTTTTTGGCAATCTATTATCATCGACGCATCATGAATTCGATTTATTCTGCATAAACTAATGTTTTTATAACAGACTAAAAAGACTCAGTGACCTCATGTATCAACAAAGTAAAAAACAGACAATAAGGCTGTTGAATGCAAACCCTGATGAATTGATTTCGGTTAAAATGTTAGTAGATGATGAGTTACAGTATACTGTTTTGGATAGTGTCCAACTTACTGTGAAACACTAAGCTGTCATAATCTTAATTCATATTGTTATTAAGTGCATCTGAACTAAAGTCGGAGAATACAACGACTCTACACTTCCTTGACGTCCTACTAACGAGAAGAGAGGATGGTTGCGTCAAAAGAACCATATTTAGAAAACTAGAAAGCAAAGCTCAGTATACACACTTCCTTATCTTTGTACCTATGAAATACAACCCGAATCTGATCAGGTGTTTAGCATTTAGAGCGACGTCCAATAGCTATGAAGATTGTGTAGAGAAAGAACTCCAGGTCATCCGGGATATTCTAAGCGAGAACGGATATCCAGAGAAGTTTATTAAAGCCAATATAGGTTACAGTAATCGTGAACGTGAACTGCCGACGGTGGAGAAAAAGCCTCTATTTTTACGTCTACAATTCAAGGGAGATTCTTTCGCAACGTTTAACCAGGGTGATAGAGAAAACTTTCTACATTGTACATGTGTTCCTATCCTTCAGTAGTCGTCCAATGTTCCTCCACCAACTTAAAGATATCTTGTCTAATCTTAGCTCTTCTTCATGTATATACCATTTCAACTGTTCCTGTGGTTCAAGTTATATGGGGCGTACATACAATTAGGCAGGTTCGTCTACGGGTTCGAGAACATTTACTAGCTTGGTTCAGCAAGCATGAAATTAAATACATAAAAAGCTTGATTCTGTCACACTTGGTCGATACTGGACATTGCATCAACGCCAACAGCTCATAAACCTCGCAGTCATCGGAGTTAATCTCAGAATGGAAGGGAGATCGAGAGTGAAGCTAGTAACTCCACATTCCGTAAGAAAACGGAATAACTGCTATTGAGACTTCAAAGTTGGAAGTTTCATGTTCCACCCCTTAGCTCAAAGGAATGAAAAAGAGAGCAACTCACTTTCTGAATATTTTCGTCAATAACATTGTTATTACTGTTGCCATTAAGACGTTCTGAAGCGTCTTTATTATGTATAAGAGAATTACTGCTATCATTAGCAATGTCAGAATTACAATTAGATTGAACAAAAGCAATTGATCGTTTGCCTATTTGTAACCAAGTTTCCCAATATGCAGACCATATTAAATTAGGCGATAAACTTGATGTTGGTGAGGATGACGACGAAATTTGTAATTCCAGTAGAACTTGCATACAGTTCAATGAAGCTAATGATATCTCCCCACTATCCATATATGCATTCACCTTTAAGTGATCCAATAGTAATTGCCAAAATTTTGTAAAATCATCTATAGTAAAATGAAATAAAATCGTAAAATCCCAATAAACAAAAAGAAAAAACAATATACCTACTTAAAAAGAGAAAAAAGAAAAGATCATTGATACAGTTGTACAAAACTCAATGTACATAAAAATGAAGCAAACCTTCGAAAATTTCTATGAATGTATTACTAACCACCTTTCCTGATGAAATTGGACGTAGAAACAACTGGTTAATTGGTGGATGGGGATTAGCAGTGGAATCATCCAGGATAACGCGCATTTCATCCCCTACTTGTGACTCGTCAGCTAGTGGATGTACCTGCATTCTGCAGTGAGTGATGGTGTTCCCACCGAGTCTCGAACTGAGTGCCCATAGCTTCAAACGTCAAGGCGTTATCCACTGGACATCGTCGAAGCATCTGCACAAGAAGCCGACATGTCAACCTGAAACCGAGCACTTCAGTTCAATCAATCGACGGGAAAATCTAAAATTCAATTAAGTAAAATCTGGTTCTCTAAAGCTTTTCTTGTCCTTTTGTTAGTCTACATCGGGATCAGTCATCCTGTTGATGTGATATTTGACCTTTTGTTCACGTGACTTTTTCTCAATTACCTGATAAGTTTGATTTATCTGTGTATGTCTGTTAATTTCAGATTCACCTGAGTATTTCATACATTTACTCCCCATTATGAATTTGAATAAAGCAAGAACAACACTGGTGGTTTGTGGAGAATACAAGATGGTACCATCCTTTTGTTTATTTCGTTGGCTTCCCAACAGCTGTCTGCTAACAGTCTAAAGAAATTATCATTAAGTTCATGTATAAAAAAGTTTTAACATACTTGCAAATTTTACATGATGTCAGTTGACAGGAGGTTTCGGGGTTGGTGAGTAGTGCTCAGAAAATCACGCTTATATAGTTTTTACACATACGCATACAATGGTGAAGGAGTTACGTAATGAAGACGAGAGGTGTGTAAGATAATGAGTAACTAATAAACTAGGTGACAATGTACTGAGTTCAACTCAAATCACAGAAACACGAGACAAGCAAAATTACACTATATCAAAGTAGAGGGTGCTGGTGAGGTTAAAGCCAAAGATTACACAATCAAATGAAAGAGAGAAATAATAAAGACATCCAACCAGAAAAACATGATTCTAACTGCTTCTTTCTGCACACACACATGAATCGGGTTTCAGGTGTTTGGTAGAGATTTCTTCTGCAAACTTGAGGAGAATTGAGCTTTTTTGACTGTTGTTAATTTTAAAGGGTTTCACGATGTCCATCTCATATGACCTGTATCAAGGAGATACCTGTTAATGACACTGTTGTAAGTAGGGGTTTGTTCCCCTTCTGGAAACGTAGGCTTTTCGGTACATGTTCAGAAAATCGTAAGTGTGCGTGCCTTCTTTCTGTTCTCCCAACGTAACTGCTCCTGCAGATACACGTAAATTTGTATACACAGTTGGAGTTGTTAACATGCGAAGGGTATCTGTCGACTTGTGATTGCACCAAAGAGCATATTGTCCGATAAATAGGAACCAACATAGCTGCAGGATAGGCTCTGCCTAGTGACGTACTCAACTTTCTGTTGACTATTGCTGCAATATTTCCACACTTAAATTGAGTTGAATGAAGACAGGCTTTTTCCCCAATATGGTTTGTTTGACGTTTGAGCTTTCACATCTTCCATATTTGTAAATGAATCTTCGTTTTTCAACATCTTTTCGAGAATACATATTTTCCTAGCTCTATAGCATTTATCTATCTATGGAGCTTTTAGGAATTTCCTAGCAGTTTTAGTATTTCTTATGCTTAAAATTTGCAGTCAAATATTTTCCGTTTATATTATCTTTTGACATCTTTTTTCTCTATAGAAGATTTTTGTAATTTAAACCAGTAAGAAAATTACGGCGTACTCTAATTAACAGAACGCATTCTGACTAAGAATCTAGGGACTACCACAAGGCTACAAACAACGCTCTCCTCAAGCCCTCATGTGTTGAATAGACAGTTAAATCCTAACTGTTGTGTAGTATTCAATGTCATTATTACTATTATTACCTTGGGTTTCGAGTAGGAAATATAGCTTCAACAGGACATCTTCATTTTACATCGTTCTGTACAGTCCTTTTCAGCTGGTTCCACGATCACCCACATGCTGTCATTATCCTCTTCACACGATATCTCCTTCATATCAATCAACCAATTCGTTATTTACCTTTCGGGTTCCATTTGAGTGTATGCTCAATCCACCTCCACTTCTTTCTTTCTATATATTTGTTGCGGTTGGTTAGTCCCGTTGACCAAGTTCCTCATTGCTTATTTTCCCCTAGCTGGTCGGTCATCTAATGCCTCACACTATCTATCCAGTAAACGCGACTGTCAATAAAAGCCTTCAGCCTGTTAGAAAATGCTTTTCATGACACGCTTGCTTGCTTGTCACCTTCCTGAACCATATAGAGTGGCTGACTAGATCTAGGTTCGTTATGCTGAGTGCTGACAGTAATGATGATCTCGCCTGCGCCTTACCGATCCTGATAGGCTTTGACATTCACATCTGTGCCATCCATCTGTGGTTGAAACGATGCTCTTTCTAGGCAGGTGTAAATGAAGTGACTTCCTTCTAAGATTTATACAGTATAAAATAATATTATTCAAGTATTGGTTTGTAGGGATTTGGTTGATTGGTTACAGGATTTTCATCATGAGCTGACATTAGTTAGAGAACCATTGGAAAACCTGGGTGTACTGGACAGCTGTTTCGTCCTAGTTTGGGACTCTTTCCCATAAAGATTGTATAAACTAAACCTAAACTAAGTGGGTTAGAGTAAATTCTTCCATATAAAAACACTAAAACATCCTAACAGTTTAATTTCCCTTATCTCATATAAAGAAGTTTAAAAGAAAACATAAAGGCTAAAGAGCTCTTGAAAAAAAATGCCGGCAACTCTCTTTAAATGTGGTGTGATCAGGTTCTATCCTTTGAATAGACAGTTTACATCATAAAAATGGTCGAATCAAACTAAAAGAAAAAGAGTAGATTTTTATTACTGTCAGAGGGAGAGAGATAAGAAACAGACATGAATTCTGATTATAAAACAATTTGGACCATAAAATGACATGCTCTATATGCAATTACCAACATCAACAATAATCAGGATGAAAATGGATCAGAAACTAAGCGCGTACACCAAAAAACCGAAATTGGAAAATCCACAGCAAATACCCATCGAGACATGAATGTGTAAGAAAAATAAAGTTCAGCGAAGAGTTTCTGTTTCAGCGGCGGCGAATTCATTCACTCAGCTGTGTAAATGCATTTATATATATAGTGATAAATATTCTGTATGTCTGTGTACACACATTAGGATTATCAAACAAGAATAAAAGTTAGTCGCGGTTATTGTTTACATCTTCAAAGTGTTTCAAAATCGTGATGAATAATCAAATTGTAACTACGGGGGAAAGGCAGAAGATAAAGAATTATTGACAAGAGTTATGTAATATGAAAGACACCCAGGAAAATAGGATGTAAGTAAAAGAGCATGGAGACAGCTTGTCCAAAATAAACTATGTAATAGGTTGAAAGAGTAACTGAAGGGTTAGTTAAGAAAAAGATGTTACTAAAATGTAATAGCAACAAAGTAGTAAAACTTGGAATTATACCCGATTTGTCTGTCTTTTTTCGACATAGAAGTTTGCACCGATGTGCAGCAGTTCAAGTCGCCACACTCTCTCCTTGTAGCACACAAAGCAAGGGAAGAAAATAAAAAGAAATGCAAAATAGAGACAGTAGACAGGGATATGAGATAAAAGGAATAGTAATAACGAAGAACAATATAGTTTCATTGGAAATTGTAAATCACAAGGAGTGGATGCATCTGAGACATCCATTGAGAACGATGAGTTTGAGCCATATCCTCGATTGTCTCCAGCCGGTGATTGGTTTTAACCGTCCCGAGGACCCCAACTGGTCAGGAAGTCTGCACCTTCCTACGTGACTGGCTGGCTTAAACTAACTGTTGTGGATTTCATTGACTGATGAAGCCATATTTTGGTTTGACCACCATTAGCCTTTTGACAACCTGATACTGTATCAGCTGACACTGCCCGTCGAAAAAGACGATGGCTATGTATGCGTAACACATGTCCTAACCATCTCAGTCGATGTAACTTCACAGCCTCGTCGATTGATTTCCCCTCTTTATCTAGCATTCGACGCCTAACCTCAATATTACTCACCTTATTATACCACTTAGAACGGGAGATAGAACGCAGGCACATATGATCAAAGACAGCTAGTCTTTTCATGTCTTCCACTCTCAATGGTCATGTCTCACAGCCAGCCAGCCACAAAGGAGGACGGAACGGACTGCTGAGTAGTACACACGCCCTTTGGATATCACGTCTACACCAGAGACGGCGTAAACTGACATATGCGAAACTATCCCTCTGTATCCGTTCTGAGATTTCGTCAGCGATCAACCCGTTGACACTGGCTGATGCAGCTTATCCTCAAATAAGTGAAGTGGACAACACGCTCTACCATTTCACTCCTTATTTCTTAGCAAGGAGTCAGTGTAATCTAGTCCTGTAACATCATCTTATATTTGGTGGGATCGAATCGGGTTATCACGTCTACGTCAGGGTAATCTAATTTAATCATTTCGTTGATATAAGAATAGAATTTTGCGCATTGCAGTAGAATATAATTCTATTATGGAATCATTTTAATTGTTAAAACCAGCATACAATCGTACAATTGTATTTACTGATAACATTTCGAGGACGCTTTATGAACTCAACTACGCAGGGTAAATCAAATACAGCGGGAATTTGGTTGAGTGTAGGAAAATGATCCCAGGAAGATAATTAGCTTAGAGAAAAATCAAGTAGCAGCAGCAGCAATGAATGCACTAACATCCACCCACCCATCCACACACACACAGTAATATCAAATAGAGGTACATTTCGAAAAGAAAAGCTAATATATTTTCAAGCACTGGATTTGTAAGGATTTTGATTGATTGGATGGAGGATTTTATCATGATTTGACATCGGTTGCAGAACCATTAGAAAACCATCCACAGGGAGTACTGGACAGCCAGCTGTTTCTTCAGTCTAGTTTGGGACTGACGCTTCATAAGTACTCACCCACCAGAGCCAGCTGGAACCCAGGACCTTTTGGTTACAAGGCGAGATAGCTAGTAGACCATTAAGCCAGTTACTGAGACCCGATCGATTCAATGTTCAGCTTATGAATTTTTACTTCTGTCAATTCATGACATAGCGCGACTACTTCTCAATATCTTCTTCGATAAATTACTGCCTCACCTTCATGGAAGAGATTGACCATTGGATCTTAGTTCGTTCAAGATTATATAATTTTCATTTTTGAAATATCATACGTTGAAGGTAAACTTTTATCATATAAAAATTGTGCACTACATTATTGACGTCTTCAAATGAAATAAGAACTAAGTAAAACCATTATTACTACTACTAATACCCGATATCCCATAATTAGAAATAATGGATAAAATGAGTTTAATGAAGTGAAATTGATGAGTAAAACTCTACACTCATCAATAACCAACATTACCACCCAACCAACCATCCACCCCGACATACATGAGTTTCTCTGCATGATACTACGATCAATGATGGTGAAAATAAACACTGGTGGATAAAACATAGCCATAGCAAATAAATAATAAATAAAACAAGTGAGTAAATAAGTAAATAAATCAATAAAATCAATAAGTAAACAAATCAATAAAGAAAAAACAAATAAATGAATAAGCGAAATAAATAAATCAGTATAAAACAAGTAAGTCAATAAATAAATAAACGGATAAATAAGAAAAATCAATAAATCAATAGACAGACAAGTAAATAAATCATTAAATCAATAAAATGCAATGATAAAGATAATTGTGAAATAATGGAGAACATCTGTATGATCAGGTAGATGATATTGAAGTAAGTTGGGTTCTCTGAGCTGAGCTGAGCTAGTAGCCAGTGTGATATGTCTAGTCCTTTCTTTGGTGCAGACTGAGTTCTCTCAGTCAGGTTTGCAATGTGGCCACCATGCAACTGGGTAGCTCACCATCACGGGTTCGAATCTCAGAATAGACATGAGTTCCTTCAAGGCTGCAGATAAGCCCTGCTGACTGGACAGTGCCAGCTAGCACGAAACCTAGGTCCACGGCAAGACTTCCTGTGACCGATTGTCTCCAACCATCTAATACAGGTTATATGCTAAAAATATCAAAGATAGGTAGAACAGTGCCTTATAACGACATCTCATTTCATGTTAGTTCAGGTCTCAATGATGCAGATGCACTGACTCTTTCTCATCACCTTAATTCCTAGATGTATCCATGTTACTACTATTTGTTTTCTCCAAAACATTTCTGCTTATTTTGTAGTTGTTTTGAACTTCTTTCTTTCTCTATATTGTCTACCTTTGTGTGCTGCATGGAGTGTAGCAAGCGGAATTGATGCACCTCTGTGCAAAGTTCTTGTTATGACCGGAACCACAACCTAGAAGACTATGAGCCGATACTAAATTAACGTGCTGGCTAATCTGACCTAATCGCACATCAAACAGTACCAACAACAATAACAACAAAACAATAACACCATCCGCACACAACGATTGGACGTCGATATAAGAGCTTTCACTGTCACAACAACAGAAACTCTGTGTATATACAACTAGAATGCAATAATTCAGTGGTGCTTTACCCTTAGTGGTCACGGGTTCCCACTAGAGGCCCAGGTATCTGTCTAAATAGGGCCAGTCTCTAGTGAACATCAGATCAATTTTAAAGTATTGGTTTTTTGTAGGGATTTTGTTTGATTGGTTAAAGGATTTCATCATTAGGGCTGACATCAGTTAGAGAACCACTGGAAAACACTGTGAAGAATTCAGTGATGCATTAAAAGTATTGACAGCCAATAAGAATCCAGCAAAACAAACAGAGGGGGAAAAAAGGGCTTATGCCAGTACACGATAAACTCCTTAAAATAGTTATTTTGAGGTTTTAGGCAAAACTGGGTGTTAATAACAGTCCTTTGCTGAAATTCAGACAACCATGTCTCTTTTCAGTCACATTCTTATGGTAATGCATAGCAAGCCGCTTGATGAAGGAAAAGCATCCACAAGCATATATATCAAAGGCGGAAAACACATCAAACAATTACTAAAGTATCTTTCGTATTACTGAACACAATAAAAACGATGCAAGCATGTTGTTTTCTTAACTATTCATTGTTTTATTCTCGTTTGAAGAATAAACAACAACGATGTCAAGACACTTTAAAATATTTAATTCAATTTTAGATTTTCCCATCGATTGATTGGACCGAAGTGCTCAGTCTCAGGTTGACATGTCGGCTTATCCTGCAGATGCTTCGACAGTTTCTGGGCATGTATTAGAAGTTAAATGGTGGTTGGTGACTGTAAGGGGAATCTAGGATGCGCACTTCGACCGATTTAGGACTCGTCATCTGGATGTACCTGCATTCCGCAGTGAGTGATGAGGTTCCCAACGAAGCTTGAGCCCAGTGCCCATAGATTCCAACGCCAAAGCGTTACCAAATAATTAGTATGACTCGTTCCACAAGAGGTGGTTCTTGTGGCAAAAGTGGTCTAGTGGATGACGCTTTGGCGTTTGAAACTATGGGCACTGCGTTCGAGCCTCGGTGGGAGCATCATCACTCACTGGGGAATGCAGGTACACATCCATATGACGAGTCTCAAATAGGACGAAATGCACACCCTGGATTCCACTGCTAGTCGCAATCCACCAACTAAGCTTTAAAATATTTCAAACACATTAATCAACAAAAAGAGAGGAAAAGAAAAGAAACATTAGGAAGCAGAACAAAATTAAAATCGACTTACTAATTTTTAATAATTGTGATTGTTTTGATATGAAACAATGCGAGACACCGGATAAGGTGAGGACAACTGTTTCAGCCCATTGTTTCGATGCTGTATCACGACTATGATGAATTAATAGACTATTCGGTTTATCGCCAACTTTTTCAACCGGTGCATTTGCATATAAATTGTGAACATTGGATAATAAAGGAAATAATATCTGTAAAATATACATACGCAGAAAAAAAGGGAAAAATTAAGCAAATCAACTGATGAGACAGATCAATACTATAAAAAGAAAAGATAGATTATTATTATCATTACTAGTAGTAGTAGTAGTGTACTGACAGAAAACAAAGGCTAGGCAACAGATCGCTTATTGAGAAAGTCAAGAGGGCATTTATAGATTTTTTACGTACATTACTGCTATCTGAGAAGCAAACTCTTCTGATTGGTTGTTTTAGTGCTGGAGGTTATTCTGTCATCTCTTTGTGCCCGTATCTTAGCAAGTCAGACCATATATCTGCGAATCGTATTTTCACACGTTAAGTCTGCTGTGATTGTTGTCTACAATTTTGGCTTGCAGACAGCTCTCATCACAGTAGTAAGAGTAGAAGTTGCTGTAGCATTACACCGATTGAGATGGTTAGGACATGTGTTACGCTTGCATGACTGACTGGCCATCCATCGCTTTCCCCTCAACAACAGGCAATGTTAGCTGACGCAGGATGGATGAGGTTAGAGAAGAGCTAGCACATTGTGGTCAAACGAAAACATGGATTCATCAGTCACTGAAATCCACAACAGTTAGTTTAAACCAACCAGTCACGTAGGGAGGGAGGTGAAGACTTCTTGACTGATTGGTTGGGGTCCTCAGGAAGGTGAGGATCGATGATGGCTGGAGACAATTGGTGATATGGCTCAAAATCGTCGTTGTCAATGGCTGGAGCAGATGCATTCACTCTTTGTGATTTACATTTCATATTCAATCAAATTCTATTATTCCTCCATATTACTTTTCTTTTTTCCTCACAATTGTGTTTATCGTCTATTTTGGTGAAACTCTCGTTCCTCTCTTCTTTTGCTTTGTGTGGTACAAGGAAGGAGTGTGGCAAGTAGAACTGGTGTACATCAATACAAAGCTGTTCTATGTTGAAACCAGTCAGTCAGCAGTAGAAGTGCTGCAGTACAAAACGATCTCTACCCTCAAAATCAAATCATGATAGCCAAATATTTGCAGACTGGTTTTACTAATATCGGCATATATATTTGACAGAAATCTTTCTGTCCTACTATAAACCATTGAGCGTAGAATACATGGAACAAGTGTAAGTGTGCCATCATTTTTATTGTTACAATTTCTATTCATTAGCATCCGATGTAACACGTTTTGATAATAAATCGGAAGCATAGATAGAATAAAATGTCAACTCTATAATATTGTGTAAGCGCTTGATGCAGTTTTTGACAATTAACAGAAAATGTGTTATAAATCTCAATAATCACTGGTAAACGTTAAGAGCAAATGTAGCAGAAAATACCTGCTACCGGGATCATGAATCGCTTAGAATTTCATTTTGTAACAAGTCAATGATTATAAGTGGCGGTAATGAACAATATGCCGAATTCAGTTGCAATCAGTAACGTCGTTTAGTCTACTATTTCGCTAGTTTTTTAGGCGGTCCCAAGTCCTGAAAAAGAAGGAGGGTTGGGCGGGAGTGGAGCTAGCGACGCTACTCCCGGATAAACAATCAGACTGCTACAGAAACTTCAATGCACAAGAAAAATATTAAGAATGCAAAAATATAAGAACCAAACTTATTTCTCGCTTGAATCGGAGAGACGAAAAGACACAGGCTGGTGAAAGCCAGATTTCAGGAAGCCACTCTCAACCAGTCGATGTGTCTTCACTCAATGAAAGCAAAAATAATGATGAGAACGTGAAATGTTCAGACAATGTACGAAACTGGGAAGACTGTGTAAGTTGACGAAAAAATGGGAAGAGAAGGCATACAAATGCTGGGAATCTGCAAGCGAAGGTGAACTCTTCAAATTGTTAACTGGACAGTCACCAGTCACCACATCCACACGACAACCACGAGCACACTGAGGCAGTGAGTGACTACCACGATGTCACCAACAGTAAACAACCAAGGCGCTCGTGTGCAGTGGGAACCAATCTCCTTCTAAAGGATAAGAACAGCAAGATTCAACTCATAGGGGAGAAAAGGCACAGTCATCAAATGATACGCACAATGCTACAAACGACTCAAAAGAAGAGAAGAAGGATTTCCATAGACAATTGTGAACAGTAATAGACAACATTCCAAATAGTGACATCAAAATTCGTGTGGACGATATGAATTCCAGCTGAACTGGGAGCAGATAACACAGGACGAGAACTCACCATGGGTTGTGAGGCTCTTGCTCGGTGAAAAGAATGAGAACGGAGAATTTTTCACAAACCTCTACGGCTAAAACAATTTGGTGATTGGAGGTAGCGTGTACTAGCACAATCATAGGGCGACATGGATTTCACCTGACGGACATACCACAAACCAAATAGATTTTATTTCAAAACCGTTCAAGGAAGTGGAGACGCAGCCTGCTGGATACAAAGTTGAAAAGGTGAGCAGATATGGGTTCAGACCATCATCTTGTTCAAGGAACCCTCAAAGTGAAGCTGGAATCCCTCAAAACAAATGCAAACAGACCACAATTCAAGTTCAACATTCAGGAAATGAAAGATTCAACTACAAAAGATACCTTCCCTGAGGATTTCAGAGGAAAGTCGGGACACAACTTGGCATCACTGAGGAAACCTGCGTACAAGAATATTGGAACTCTCCGAAGGTGATGTTCACGGAAACATGTACAAAAGTTTTAGCAAGAAAGAAGAGGGAAGACAAGAAATGGATCTCAACGGACACCTACCAGGAAGCTAATAGAAAAGAGGAGAAGAGAATGGTGAAGGAAGAGATGACTCAATACAAAGATGGACAACAGAAGGAGAAGCTGAGCTCAATGTATATCGAATTGAATAAAGAAGTGAAGAAGAGTGCTAGGAAAGACAAAAGACAATTCTACTACCCACTGTCTGGCAATTGGAGTAGAGCAGGCTGCTGGTGTAAGAGACCTCGGGGCATTATATCAAATAACTAGGTCTCTATTCGGGAAGAGACCAACCCAGATGATGAAACCAATATAAGACGTTCAAGGGAACCTGATTACCAAAGAGGAGGAACAAATAAAATGAGCTGATCACTTCAAAGGACTCTTGAATCGACTATCACCTGTAGCTCACGCAGAAATGCCACCAACAACAGCAAGCACAGAACTGTCACCGAAAATCAGTCCTTCAACAAAAGCGGCAAATCTTGAATGCAATAGAGCTGCTGAAGTCTGGGAAGACAGTAAGACCGGACGGAATACCCCTCGAAGCACTGAAAACGGACCAGGAGACTGAGGCAGATGTGCTGACGCCACCATTAATTAAACGTTTGGAGGGAAAGAAAGGTGTCTACTGACTGGAAGGAACGCTACCACCTTGTCAAAGTAAAGTGATATAGGCACCTGGAAGAACTGGAGCAGACTCATTCTCAAGACTTCACGGACGATTTATGTCTAATGTCACATAAATTCGAAGACTAACAGGAGAAAGCCGAAAAGTTGGCAGAACATGCATAATACCATCATCATTAAGCGCAAAGTCTTTCATTACTTCGTCCATTATTACTATCACTATGATTATCATAATTATTTTTCAATAATTACAGGCCTTATTTTTATTACTTGTGTGTGCGTGTGTATGGCACAATTTGAATTTCTTCAGACTGAAAAAACGTTGTTACTATTATAAGAGAAAAACTGACTACTATATTAAGACAGCGCAATTCCATATTTTAAACACATTATTATTATCATTATTTTCCCCACACTACCCTTTCCTTTCAGTATTCTTTATATGATATGTGCTCTCTCTCTCTTTGTTTCATATGCCGAATGGTAATCTCGACGGGGTGTGGGTGAGGGGGGCTAAGGCAATTATGTCAGATCAAGTGTTTATACACATATGTTCTATGTTTTAGCCCGCTTCTATTTCACATAATCCTTACACACACAAAGAGAGAAAAAAAGCCTATTCATTATATTCTAGAATATAAACCACTTGAATAGAAATAATTAATTACTGGTTGTATGTAAGTAAAGGAAATGGCTGAACAGTAGTAATGTTAGATGTTTGGAGGCAATCGGCCATAGCAAACCTCGCCGTGGACCTAGGTTTCGTGCTAGTCGGCATTGACCAGTCAGCAAGGCTTATCTGTAACCCTGAAGGAACTTATGCCCCTTCTGAGATTCGAACCCACGTCAACCAGTACTGCCTGCAGTCAGACCTGCAAAGATTGAAATTCAACTATCCTTTCTTATACCGACAGTCTGGTATAAAGCTTTTAGTGTAACTTCACGTAAATTCAGTTGCTAGTATCAGCAACCATTTCAGTGTAGAATGCGTGACCACTTCAGAGTGTAAATGCACAGATGATCTTGAACGTATACTATTTCGTCGGATTACAGAGTCTGCCACCGTTATTACACAGCGCCAATTTGAACGTTATGTACGAATTAATATATGCAAATTTCATCCTAACTTCATTTCTAAATACTGTTTGGACAATGGGTTGATAGCATGTGAGAATTAGGATTAATATTAAGGTTAGGGTTACGGTCAGGGGTTAGGAGTAGGGTTAGAGAAAGGATAACGTTCGAAGAGTTTTTTTATTTTATACATATTTTTCTTTTAAATAAATAAATAAATAAGGGGGTGAGCGTTTCGTTGTTCATATAGGTGGAACCGTTTTGATAGCTTTGAACTGACCGACTGACTGACTAGTTTCAAAATAGAACTTTGCACTAATGTACACAAAATCCAGTTGTCACACTCTTTCTCCTTGTACCACACAAAACAGGAAAAGACAATAAAGACAGACTCAAAACAGAGAGAGCTAATAAACAGAAGTGTGAGTGAGGGAAAAAGAATAGTGATATGGAAGAATGGTAGAGTTTCATTAG